GGGGGGGGGGGGGGGTATCACTATGGACGATCGAAACGAAATGGTGAAGATGCAAGCTCTGCGCTCGACGCATGGCGTTGAATGGGAGTGAGTGGTGAGTGCTGCAGGGCGCAGATGCTGCTGCCCAAGCATCCCAGAAGATTCACGATTCGTGATTCGCGATTGCACATCCTCACCAGCAGCACACACACACACAACGACTCACACTCACGACTGACAAGCCTGCATTCACGATTCCTCCATTCACGTGATTCATCCATCCTTCTCGATCGCAGCAGCACTCACCATGCACGTCACCGCTCGCGCGCTGCTCTCGTACGAAAGATCGCACGATGATTGACCCTCCGCGTCTTTTTTTGGACTCCTGACTCACGACTGCATTGCGTGGGCGCTTGCGCAGTTTCTTGCGTTTTTTGATTCACGATTGCATACGGTACCGTACTCTCCACGACTCTGGAGATACACGGGGCTACGCAAAGATTCTGCTCTCCCATCTCTCGATTTCAGACAAAGCACTTGCAGAACCTCGACTCGTTGCGCGCCAGACTCTTGTCGAATGTCTACGCAATCACCATGACGACGGCTTCCTCCTCCTCCTCCTCCGCCGCCGCCGCCGCCGCCCAGAGCAGTGGTGAGGCTCGCAAGCGACCAGAGTATATCATCGAGCACATGGAGGAAGATGATCCAGATGCGCCTGCAGTTTTCCCTCAGGTGCGTGTATAGGAGTGTCGATCAACGTCGTCTTGCGCAACGAGCGCTGATCCGCTCACTTGCTCTGCCACACTCGAATCGTCTGACAGTGGGCGCTGTTGGAGTACGGTCACATGTTGACGCTGCTAGGCCCAGGCACGACGTGTCACTTTACATCCCTCTCCAACGCCTCTCTCCATTCGCTGCAGCTCCAATTGGACAGGGTCGCGCAACCTCGAGCAGATTTCGAGCTTCATACCGCCAGCTTCACCAATGCGCTAGAAGTCCCTCTGACCAGTATATGCCTGTTGGATCCTCAAGCACCGCTCGGTCTATCCGTCTCCGATGCCGGGCTCTACAGCGCCGCACAGCAGATCGAGGCGTCCGGATCATCATCATCATCATCATCATCATCATCGCCAACATCGCCAGAACTCCCAGGCGGTCCATTCTCCCACTTTCTCTTTGGCGGTATACTGGGCGACGATCCACCGCGGGACAGAACTTCTTCGCTGCGCAAGTTGGGCATGCCCAGAAGGCATTTGAGCGGCATGCAGATGACTACGGATACCGCTTTGGGAGTCACTTGCCAAGTGGTGGAGAGGGGCAAAGGGATGGCGCTGGACAAGACGGAACAGATGGGTCCCAATGGCGCGCTGCAGTGGTGTCATGCCCCAGAGTTGAACTTTGGAAACGGAGAGTCGGTGAGTAGCGACGCGCTTCCGTGTGCATCTCGAGGTACTCCTCGCCTCTGGCCGCTCTGCGCAGCGGTGAACGTCACAGCGGAGGGGCGACGTCGATCGATTCGCAAGCGGGGTCACACGCGCACACCAAGCTTGGCTCACAACCGCATCACACATTCCCGCGTCGCTGCAGGTATCCATGCCTTTCAGATACATGGTCGATCCCAAATCACCTTCTGGAAACCCTCGACCACTCATGCCTCCAGGAATGAGGGAGCTCATCCGCAGCGATATGGATCGCGCTTTCGAATTCTAATGGACGTGTCTAGGTGCCACCTCGATTCTGTGTCTCTCGCACGCGCGCGCACAATAGAAGTCGTGAGCCTGTAGAAGGAGCTTTGGAGCCAGGGCACCACGAGTGTGGAAGCATTGGGGATCTGCAGCGGAGCGGCAAGGACAGTGCTTGCAAGAAGTAGTGTCATTAGTGGTTGTTAGGAATTTCTTGCGACAGCGTGGGCAGAGGTGGTGCAACATGACCACCGAAGCAAGATCTGGTGAGCGCGCGATCTGGTGAGCGCAGCAGCCGATCGTTTGAGCACAGCCACGCCAGCGAAAGGTGATGCGTTCGCGACTACAAGTCTGCCCATCGAATTCCTCCATTGGGACCCCTCCTTGCCGGAACTGTGAGCCAGCGATTCGCTTCTTCGAACAGACTATCCCCCACTCTGGGAGCAGCGGCCGCTCTAAAGAAGCCCTTGTGCGCCGATAGAGGTGAAGGGTGAGCAGACTTTAGCACCAAGACGTTTGGAGAGCTCTAGAAGAGACAATGAGGGATCTAATTCAGCACGTGCGCTTGGAGAGGGGGGTTGCGATCTCGGAGAGAAGTAGGCCACTGCCACACTCACGCTGGTCACGCCGGCTTCTGCGAGCGTCTTGGCTGCGGGAGCTCCCCAAGCCAGAAAGACTACACCACTGCCCGTCCCCCCGCCCTGCGCCGAACTCGAAGTCTTTTCCTCGCTCTTGCTTCCAGGAGACGACGAAGGAGCTTTTGCATTCTTTGGCTTGCCAAAAAAGCTAGTGATGGTGCTGTTACCTTTTGAAGGTGCAGACGAGCTCGAGCCTGATCCTGCAGAAGAGGAAGGGGTGACTTTTGCATCTGGCGATTTGCCGATGGATCGAGCGGCATCCGCCGCGATGCTCTTGATCACCTGCCGTGTAAAAGGTTCCCAGCCTTGCCCGTGGTGCGAAGCTGCTGCGTGCGCTCGGACTGTCTGCAATCGTGATTCGGGTGACAGAGCATCGCTTCAACGATGCACGCGCTGCAAAGGGGGGAAAAATTCATGGGCCCCTCATTGCCCGTACTCACGAGGCACGCATTGAGCAGCAATACTCCCTGCTTTGCCCAACCATCCAGGCATCTGATCCATCGAGCCGGCGGAAAGATGAGCGATTATCACGCTGTCAACGCTCCTGACGAGCCCATGTGATGGCCATACACGTACCCGTGTGTAGGAACTGCGAATCCCGCGCCGTACTGAGCGCGTAGCTCCTTGTAGATGTTCTTGAGGCTGGGCGGGACAGGCACGCCCTTTGGTACGGAGAAGGACATTCCTGCACCGCACGTAAAGGTGGGAGGCAAGTCGAGCTGACATCAGCCAACTTGCCGATGACGAGACGCGCGCTTCGTGAAAGAGGGAGCGCACTCACCGCACGCTTGTCCGGGACCGTGGTAGGCTTTGGAGGATTTTGCGAACGGCAGCAAAGGAAAGTATGAGCAAGCTTTGCGTGGCAAGTGCACCTAGCTGGCTGCGCTCACGATCTTGTCTGGGAAAGCAGTCGAGGGCAGACACGTCAGCCGGGACGCGGGAATTCGAGCACAGCTGGGGCAGATGTACACACCCGATAATCACCACCTTGACTTTGCTAGGAGGTGTCAATCGCGACCAGCTGTGAATGAGGTCGGCTAGCATTCGCAAGGTTCGCATCGCAGCGATGCGATTCAGGGAGGGTTAGTGGGTGATATTGGGGGGGGGGGGGGGGCGGCAGCTCACGTGGAGGGTAGATGACCTTGCCGCTCTTGGCTTCCGAAGCCAGAAAGGCTTTTAGCTGCGGTGGTGGTGGCCAGCCACGCGACAGCGGTAGTAGAATGCGCCTCAGCCGATTTTGCTCGAACCGTCGTTGAGCCGCATGGCGAGCCAACGTTGCGCAGCGCGCTCTGACACGATCACCTGACTCACCTTTTCGAAACTCGGCGCTCTCATATCCTTTTCTAATCGCCTGAACCACTCTGCGTGCATCGTCCTCCGTTCCACTTCCAACGCATCATTCCCGATGGCCAAAGTCAAATCTGATGATAGGGGCGCCGCGGTGGAAGCCTTTGCTGCTGATGATGATGAGGAGGAGGAGGATGATGGTTCCGTTTTAGCAGGTGTGAGATCGCTACGATCCTTTGCATCTTGGTGCTCCGCCTCCATCGCAGCTGCTATCATCGCCTCTTCGTCCAATTCTGCCGCATCCTCCGCTTCAGCCAGCGCAGTCCCTTTCGCTGCACCATTCTCCTCGGCGCCGCGAATGGGCGACACGGCTTGTCGCTTGCTCGCTCGTACTTGCTGGGCCTCTGAGCTGGAAGCTTCGCCTGCACCTGCACTCGTCAAGGTAGCGTCAATGTTGCGCTTGCTGGTCGACATTGCGGCGGCGGCGGCGGCGGCGGCGTACAAGATGGAAGAGCAAGTGATCTGCGACAAGGGAGCGACGGTGGGCGAGCGGCGGCGTGTAGAGTGCGCAGATCGTAGCAGCTGCAGTGTACGCGATGTGGATCGAGCGGATGGGAATGCGCAGATGTTCATGCGCATGGATGGATGGAAGTGAGAGAGAGAGATGCGGCGATCACCGATGTCTTGCTGTAGCCCGCCGTCTTGTGAGGAGCGCAAGATGATGGCAGCGCCGTGGTTGGTGTGAGGGTTGGAGGAAGCTCGTGTGGCGGATGATCCAGCCGTAGGGTCAGAGTCGCGAGTCGCGAGTCGCGAGTGTTGTGACTCTGTGAGGCGTGCGAGTGTTCTCCTCGGCTCTCTCATCTCGTGGTGACAGCCAAATCATGCAGCGCACGCGCGCACCATCCATCACCTCCACTCATACTCGACGCGCGTGTTGCTTCGGCGCGCGCATCGCGACTTCTTCCTCTGACTTTTTTCGCGCAACCAAACTACCCGTACCCGCGCCTGCGCCCGCGACTTTTGCTGCGCGTCGCGTCGCGCCTAAATTGATCGCCGCGCTGCGAGGGCAACAACGACTTGCACGTGACTCGAGAGACCGCATCGAGTCGCCACACGCACGCACGCACGCACGCACGCAGGCACGCACGCTCACGTCAGATGACGATGCGCGATCAGTGTGCGGCCGGGCCTGCCGGAATAGGTGAAAGCGTGGCCGAGGTGAAAGCGGTGCCAAGCCCGAATGTGCACGCTGTTAAATCATCATTCCATCCACCATCGTCCATCCACACTGACGAGCCCCTCCTCTCCACATCGAAGACTACGCCCATCGAACATCAATTCCTGCACGCGTACGCATACATCATATTCTCTCCCCTTGCGCTGATCAGACCGACATGTTCTCCACAACTTGCAAGACCGCACTTCGACCTCCCACTGCTCTGCTGTCCAAAGTCGGCGCTCCCTCATCCTCCACCACCTCCATCATCTCCTCCTCCTCCTCGTCGCGCCTGCCCCTTCCCACCGCCTCATCATCATCTTCATCACGACATTTGAGCGCCTCGACGCGCGCTCTGTCGGATGGCGATGGACAAGAATCTCCCTTTAGCAGACCTGGACCTCCTCCTCTTCCACCCAAGGAACAGCGAGAATTCGAGAGGTTGGTAAAGGAAAAGAGCAGTGAGTGTTGGCATAAAATTTTCGCAGATGCCTGGCCAAGGGCCTGCAGCACAGCTACGCACACATCAGCCCTGGGGGGCGTCCTTTTGCGAGTGGCTCTCTCCAAGCATCCCCATTCGCACGCTTCTTCTCTCGAACTCGCCAGACTGACAATATGCTCCGTTCGCCGCCAACAGACGCTTTGCAATTCAACTCGAACGCAAGCGGAAACGAAAGCGACGCCATTCATCCCGATGCGCGAAGGGTGCCCACGCCGGATTTCGAGGGAGACACGAATCCCAGCACTGGAGAGGTGGGAGGACCAAAGAAGGACCCGTTGGCTTGGCAGAGGGAATGGACTTACGGCGGCAGGGCTACAGATTTCTGATTTGGCGTTAGGGCGAATCCTGCCGTGGCGGATCGAGCCAGGCATCATGATCGACTTGGCCGATTGCTGCGCCACCTGCATTCGAGAGCTACACGGGCGCACTTTAGCGTCAAGACGAGCGGCCGGCCATGGGGCCTCCAAAAGGCACGCCCTGCTCTGCAGCGTCTGACAGTCAGTGAAAAGCTTAGAGATGGCCCCGACGCCTGGGCCTCTTGCATCCCAAAGGATGCTCGCGCGACCAGTCGCCGGTATCCAACAGGCAGCGCGAGCGCGTTTGCCAATGATCATGCATTTTGCCATCTAGACCCAGGTCCAAAGATCGTCCGATCGGGTGCAACGATGGCATCCAAAGGTCTGTCATTTTCGTCTGTGGGGACCATTTGAGATTCGGGCAGAAGCTGCGGGGACAAGGACAGGGCCACTGATGGAGCGGCAGTCCAGCAGGGGGGGAGAGCGAAGCAGCTCAGCGCGAGTGCCAAGCTGTGTGATGGTCTATGGTTGACTGATCGACCAATGCACCACCGAGGTTTGCGCCGGGCCGGGCCACACTGTTGCTATGCCCACCGCTCCGCTCTCGACTCACCTGAAATGGGCTCCTTTTCGGCAGCGACTCGTCTAGCTCGCGCAGCTTTGTGCAATTGAGCAAGATAACGATCGTAGTAGCCCTTTCCGTGACCCAGTCTATTGGCGTGCACATCGAACGCCACGCCGGGGACCAGGATGAGGTCCGGTGCAGTCCTCGAAGCGAGCGCTGCGAGGGGTAAAATCGCATTGCAGACGCGGGGGGAAAAAGACAAAAAACGGTCGTCAGTTTCAGCTCGTGAGCTTTCGGGCAGCGACTCGCCAACGATTCCTTCTCGCTTTTGGGGAGCACACGCACCTTCTTCACGGACGCGAGCCATTTCGACGCTGAGCTCCCTTATGCCGTAAGCGTTCGGCTTGAGCGATTGATACTCTTGCACATCCTTCAGCAACAACATGCGCATCTCTTCCGCGAAAGAGGATGTCCTCTTGGTCGGGGGAGGAGAAGGAGGAGGAAGAGGTTGCCTTGGTGGCGATGCAGCTGCGATCCCCTCCTCATCTCCCTCGCTCTTTGCAGGCGCCGCCGAATGCTGTCGATGCGCATCTGCAACAGGATCCAGAGCAAAGTGGGGAATCCAAACTTGTTTGCCTTGCTCAAAGGCTGCGCGACACAACGCGTCCGTCTCTACCTCGCCAGAGGTGGATAGGTAGATGCCGACGGAGCTCGACGAGGCCCACGTGGAGGAGCCCAAGATTCGCAATGTGACGCGAGATGCTAGGGGAAGGGGGGGAGCGCGAGAGGTGCGGTGCGGAGGTAAACGTGGGGGGACATCTTGTGATTTGTGGGGGGGAGGGGCGTTGCGCCCACTTGGAAAGCTCGCGACAAACTCACATTCACCCTTGACCTCCTCCTGGCTCATACCCCTCAGCCTGCTCGCCATGGATTTTCGAAGTGCCCCTTTGGCCTGGCGCAATGCTGTTCTGGTGGCAGACGTGGCAGCGGACGAAGCCATATCTGCATCGGAATGCATGGAGGAGGTTGCTGGATCGAAAAAAGTCTATTGGGGGGAAACACGTGTCTTGCCTACCGGCTCGATCCGACTCGATGCGGACTTGTTGCGGCGATGTGTTTGAGTTCGATCTTGAGCTTCGAGTCTGCGGAAAGGAGCAGGAAGCGAAGCTGAGATGAAGCTATAAGCTGAACCCCCCCGCGATTCAAGATTGCGCGTGACGTGTGAGTTGAAGTGAAGTCTTCGTGATGGAGTGCGTGAGGTGGAGGCAGGCAGGCAGGCAGGCGGGCAGGCAGGCAGGCAGGACACGAAATGTGAAGCGCGCGCGAGACCTGTATGCGTGCATGCCCTTCCCTTCCACAGCATCCATCCGCACGCACGCAACTTGTGAGTCGCTGCGAAATTCCAAAAACCTAAAAAAGTCTTGAGTTGAATCGCGAATTGGTGGGAAGGAAGAACTTTGAGAAGGATCACGTGCACGTGCCTTACACGAGCCACTTTGACTCCCGCGCGTTTGGATCGAAAATCCGTTTGCCTCGCAATCACGAATCTTGAATGTTGTTCAACATCCGTCGTTATTCTCAGTAAGCGACGCTGCCATGCCATGCGATTCGCTGGCCATTTTGAAGATCATCTCGAAGAAGCGCGCATGCAAATCGACCCATGCGGCATCTATGCTATGCTGAACAAGAGCTGATATTGGCGCTGATGCGCGTCCATCTCCTCAGACTTGCACGACAGGCATACTTCATCGCAGCTAGGTAGCTGCACGCGCTCTCCTTTCACGAGCTTGTTCAGGTGAGAACAGAACAGAACAGTCAACGTCCAGTCGAGTCGAAGCGAGTCGAGTCGAGTCGAGTCTGCGCTGCGCCGGTGGGCAAAGAGTCACGAGTCAGAGTGCTGGAAGGCAAAGGGTCCACACAAAATTCACCGATCACGATCGATCGACCGCCCTCGTGCGCGCGGCTGGGCCGAAGCGCGGAGCCATGCAGCTGCAGCATGGCGGACCGTACGTACGTGAAAGCGCATGCATGCATGCATGGTATAGGCATGCGCATGTGTGCGGTACGGTACTCGCCGCACCGCACCGCACTCATCAGACTCATCGATCGCGAACTTGAAATCTACGTACACTATACATGACCATTCACGATTTGAGATGTGCCTTGAAGGCTTGCATGTTTGCATATCTTTGGTAGAGGCGGAAACAGCGAAACCATGCATCAGTGCAGCCAAGGGGTATAGGCCAAGTATGCTGCTGGTACTGATGCAGACTTGGACAATGTGAATACGAGTGGAGATTCGTGCTGATCAACACGCGGTGTAGTCACGATGCGAGCGCTCGCCTAATGTCAGCATCGTGCGTGCACCGCTGTCAAGCGAGCAAGGAAGCATATCAGCTGCTCATCTGCATGCATGCGAGCAGCAGCATCGCATCAAAAAGCTTCAGCTGTGTAGATCCTCCTCCTCCTCCCCCCCCCCCTGCAAAGTCG